ATTGTACAGTGGCATTAAGTGCCGAAATTTGCACCTCTGCCTACCCCTTCGAGGATTAAAAGGCGTGATGTTAAGTTATGTTATGTTACCTTTCTCTAGGGCATATGAGTTGATATAATAAAAAAAACAACAAATTACATTCTCATAATTACAATTTATTTCCTACTTACATCTAAATACATAATTTTAAAGTAATAAAAATAATTTTATAAATTAGAAATAATAATAATTTTGTACCTATCAGCATATTTTTCATTTCACTTTCGACTGGTATCTCTTTGGTGTGGCCATTTAACTGACAGCCTGAATGATTATTGATTAGCCATTTGGCTGAATGGCTAACATTTGTGGTTCATTTTATTAAAGTTGCTACCGGAATGTTAGGTTAGGTCAGGTTAGAACTATAACTAACGAATATATTTTTTTTTCTTCTTTGGCAACTGAGTCTCCAAAACGGTGTTGTCGACTATACTGCCAGTGTCGAGTGGTGACGGCAAAATTAATGAACCGTCGAACTTAACTTTGCGGTAGTTTTTAGTTGTTAGTAGCTGAAATGACAAAACAATTGGGAACTAACGAACATAGAATTAGGTACTCGCCAACTATACTCGGAATTTTAATTCGATTCCAGATTTGACAAATTCAGTGTTGCAACGTTATGACAAGTACTAAATAGTGACGTTGCAAAATTATTCGATATGGAAATGCAATATTTCTGGATCGATTCTTCTCGTTGATAATTTTACTCTCGTAAACTAAGGATATCAGGAAATTAAACATTTCTGAACCGATAATTTAGTTTTGACGTTTAATTAACGATCTGAGACTATTCTTTTATAATTGTGTAATAATTGTAATTGTGTAATAATAAATAAAAAAAATGTAATCATGAAGGAACATGACAAATAAAACAGATAGATGTATTATGGTAATAAGTTATTTTATAAATAATATATATTATCGCCGTCATCGCTATCCTGTCACTTTCTGTAATATTTATTAAAAAACACACACACTGATTGTTTATCGATTTTTGTGTTCATCACTACAATATTATATGTGGTATCATTATTTCACAAAATTACAGTAGCTATTGTCAAATCTGGAATGTAATTAAAATTCCGACTATAGTCAAATTCAATACTTTTTTCGACCTGTCAAAAACGACAGTTTTCTATGAATTTTGTACGAGATTGTGTATTGTGACGTCACGTTCTTTTTAGTATCAAAAATTTTAAAATTAAGTTGATCATAAAATCAATGAATGAAAGTGTGATTGTTTTTTAATATTTTATTGCATTGAACAGTCGAAATCTTTGATTTCGACTGTTCAATGATAAAAAAGCAAAAATTTTTGATTAAGGAAAGTACCCAATTTTAATAGAATAGCTATGTATGTAGTATAATGTTATAGTTACTAGAATTGTATGGTGATATTATTGTTATTGTGTTATTTGACTGCACGAATGACGCGGTGAATGGACAAGCCGGCTGCCGCGCAACGTGTCGCGGGTTCGAAACCCACATGGAACAACTCTTTGTGTCATTCTTAAATTGTTGTTCCAGATGTTTGTAAACGCACACACGATACAGGAGAAAATCCTAATGTTGGGAAACGTTTAAGTAATAAAAAAAAATTAAGCAGGCTAGGCCGTCAATTGAATGGTTTATGAAGTAACCTGACTACGAATTCTACGATATATCCGTCGTCGCCAACTCATTTTTTCAGCAAATACATAGTTGATTAGTATAAAACTACTTTTGGAATGAAGTTTCAATTTAATTCACATCGTATTAATATAATTGGAATTAAAATCACATAATTTCAGTGCCGGATTAAGCACGCAGTCAGAGCAGTAATTACTTTGGGGCCCGCGGATAAGGGGGGCCCGTGCATATATTGGGGTCGACGATAAGGGGGCCCGCGCCCCATATATGGGGCCGGGAAGATATCGGGTCCCATGGATAATTACTCCGAGCAAACGGAACCTGTTTATGAAGGGCCTCGCGTCCAACTTAAGATACTTTTTTAAATACAATTTTTAACGGACCCCAAGCAATTCTTGCTAACTTCAATCCATTACTATTTATAGATTTTTTACCAACTTTTTTGGTAAATAAATTGTGTTATTTATATAAAAAATAATTAGTAGATACTCAATGTTAATTTACAGGGAAATTATGAAGAGTATTTTGTTCACACATCCTTTAAGCTCTCTTCGTAAACAGAATTGACTAGTTCTGTCCAGTGTGTATCTGGTTGTAACCGCTTCATACTGGTTCGTGGGTCTCGTTCTGTGTGGATTCTACTACGATCTTCTTGTGCGGTATCCTCTTCTTGTTTGGTAGCGTCAAGCAGAAGAGGGAGTTTACTGGAAGAAAAAATTATGTTATTGAATGTTATTTTTCTATAATTCTCAGTAAAAGCATGGTGTCTGAATCTGAATTTATGCCCAGTATCAGGCATTAAGCTCAATATTCATGAATGTACAATGAACAGGGTAGGTGGCTAATTTTTATTTTAATGTCCATCTGGTAGATTATTTTAAATCATTAGACACGTATTTTTTATTTTCTTACAGAAACGAATACTTCCGACGATATATTGATTTGAAATGTCGCGTGACGTCACTTCTATGTACACTTTATACGTAGAAATGACGTTTTAGCCCCCACTCCTCAACTTTGATTCATTTTATCTAAGTAATGTTTTATTATACGACAAAATAAAAACTTTTAAGTACGTGTCTAATATTTTTTTATTATCTAACTGACAGACTAATTAGATTTTTAACTTTCGTACCAAGTCAACTACCCAATTGTGTTTTTAGTTTTTTAAAATAGGCACCATGTGTTTTCAAAGAATGCTGATTTAAATTTCAAAGAATCTTTTGTCCAACTATATTTCAAAGATGCAAAAATAGTAAAATAAAATGAATATTAATGTTCAGCGAATCTTGACCTCAGAGTTACAGAATTTTATTCAATAGATTGTTCCCAGTTGTTGTTCATATTTAATTTATGTCTCTCATAGTTTTAGCAAGTCATGCTTACGAAACAATTGTTATAGATTATATCACATCTCTAATGTCATGGTACTTAGAATGTTTCTATTTCAGTTGAAACAGAGAGTTTATTTTTTTCTTGTATAAAAGCACTATTTTTATAGATTGTCAGTATGCCTATGTGAGCACCATGTTAGACTATATTTCTTTATTGGGTTTTGTTTTTTTTTTATTTTAGTAAGTTCTGTAATTTGTATTATGCGTCAAGCGTGTCTTTACATTTTTCTGACACACATATATGTATTTATAATTTTCGAATATGTATCAGAAAAGTAATTTAAAGTACCGAATGGAGTTTCTTGGACGATTTTCTCCAGTCGAATCTACTTTTTGGAATGAGCGCCTAGCTTCACTGACGAACAGACTGACAGGCTATTATTTATTTTATATTTGTTAACATTTCAAAAGTAACAAATTATAGTTTAATTGAAATAAATGCTTTTGAGTTTCAGTTACTTCCTGGGCTACTTATTTTCATATGAAGTATATTTTATAAAGTATGCCTGCCTTATTTTAAAATCGAATCGTGTGTTCACATCTGGTGAATGTCTTCTACTATTATACTTTTATGTATGTATATACTAGCTTTTACCCGCGGCTTCGCTCGCGTCACAAAAGGATAAAAAGTAGCCTATGTGGCATATACCAATACATACAGCGCCATCTATACCAATAATTTTGTTTTCCCTCGGGAATATCAAATTTTTTCGGAATAAAAGTACCCTATTATTTAATCCGGACTTCTAACTTTACGTCTGCAAAAATTTAAAGCAATCGGTTTAGTAGTTACGGCGTGAAAGCGGAACAAACAAACAAACTCACTTTTCGATTTATAATATTATAGGAAGGATTTATACTTTTAACCATTGTTAAAAAACTATGCTTGTCAAATCGATCTTTGGATGATGTTATGTAGCTAAAAATCTTAATCCAAAGAATTTTTCTAGGTTTTGAGATTTTTTCACAAAATATTCTTAAACAAAATAGACAAGCCATCACTTAGTTTAATAAATTCATTTGCTTACCTATAATAATGGAGCCAAACAGATAGAACCCTGCTCCGCAGTTGACCTCTAGGAACAGCCCGATGAGGTTGGATCCCACCATGGAGCCCACTCGACCCATCATCATTGATAGACAGATCGCCATTGCTCTGGAAATTATATGTATATGTGATACTTTAGTTTAATGTGGACCAAGCACTATTGTGTTATTGTAAAGAATAGATGAGCAAGTACGTGGGCATAGATGAAATCTCCTTATAGCCTGGGTCTTTAGCCAAACGCCACTTTAGCGCTTGTCTACCGAGAGAGTAGAAATCAAAATGTATAGGGATGACACTGACAAGTGTCAAAAGGACAATGCCAGGTGCTCAGTACATCTTTGACCCACTATATTAGAAGTCATGTACAAGTATGTAATATTCAGCATCGTGTAGCGTATTAATTACCGATACCTAAACATTTGTCCTGAAACCTGTAAAAACTTGCGGTTTTTGTTTAAAACCCAAAACAATAATGATAACTATCGCGAAAACAACGGAAACGCAGAGAGCGAATGAAAGATAATAATGACACTGACAGCTGACAGCTTTCGTTACACGAAAAGATCATAACAAATGATAGTAACCGTTTCTTTTATATTTTCGTGATTTCATCTGTAATTATTAATAAATAAATAAATGTTATACATAATTATACTTTTGATATAATATTTTATGTATAACTAGCGACCCGCCCCGGCTTCGCACGGGTGCAATATGTATTATACATACAAACCTTCCTTAAGAGTCACTCTATCTATTAAAAAAAACCGCATCAAAATCCGTTGCGTAGTTTTAAAGATCTAAGCATACATACGGACATACAGCGAAAGCGACTTTGTTTTATACTATGTATTGATGATATCATTTTTACAGTTACTTACTTTTTTATTTTCATAGTTCCATACAAGCGATGCGTATGATGTAACGCAAATAGTCATTAGACAATATGGAAGACGCATTGCAAAAAAGTATTTCCGGGATTGAACTTCTTTTTTTATTAAGTTGTAAACCGCAAGTTTAAAAATAAAAAGATTTATTGTGAAAAGGTTCCTTATTCGTCAAAATTATTTTCATCAATTTACTTTTTTTGTAAATGATATTATGACTGGGTCAGGATCTGGCATTGTCATTT